TATAGTTAATCAAATACACTGAATTTGAAAGCATTTCCGAAGGGAAGTCCAAAAATCATGAAAAGAAAGTACTACTTTCGACACCAATAGATTTTTAATAACAAATACGATAAGTGCCTTTTCAATTTCGCTTTTACCGCAGTGAGAAACTGACGTCAAATACGAGTTGCAGCATGATGAAATCACGTGACATGTTGCTTTTAAAGATGGAAATAATAAAATATTGAAGGCTTAAATTATCGATGAGTGACAATGGGAAGTATTATAAAAATTTTTAAAGATATGTTTATCACTTTCTGAGACTGTCGAAATTGGGATTATGCATGGTTATATCAGTATTCATAGTGCTTTGAGAATTGTGGATTATAATCATGAATTATACAATTATTTTTAAGTCTGAAACAACTGAACCATAAACAGCTACAAAGATCTATTACAGAAAATACCTTACTACTGCATTCATTTTTACATATGGCCTGGAAAACAGACAGGCTAATAAACTATCCGGGTGAAACCGTATAGTAGAGCTTGTAGAATAATATAAACGGTTTGCAAACTGAAGTTTGAAATGTTTTGATATTTTGGCATACTTGAATTTGATTCATCATGTAGAAGGTATACTGTATTATCGTGTAATGCCAGTGTAATACCTGGAAGGCTATGCAATATAAAATAAAAATAAAATAAATGAATAAGTAAAATAATAAATGAAAAAAAATCTGAAGCTTTCAGATTTTATATTACACCCAAAGGGGCGTTTTTTTAACGTTCTGTATGCTATCTTTATATATTAAATATCACGTTCTTCGCCCTTAAACAATAAAATTCAATTCTACAGCAGTATCACAAAATAATCTAAAAAGATCATATCTTTAGAATTTCCGATACACAGTCTCGCGTGCTGGAGATAATTTTTTTTTTTTCCCTGTACAGTGTTGCCATTGCTTGCTTTGAAATCGTTGAGTCTTTTAATAGAAAATTCGTTAAAGTTTAACAAAATATGAAATAGATAACAAAACAAAATTCCAAATTTGGGCTTCCAGATGCCCATAATCGAGGAGATGACTACTTTATTCAAAATTTGATGTCTCTAGGTATCGTTGTTTTTTCACAGAGCGAGAAACATACATGCATTCATGCAGATTCTTCGTTATTTAATTTCTTTAATGCAGGGCTATAATATTTGGTGGCAGCAATTTGAGAAATGAAAGGCCATTTATAGTGAAACAACACAAAACGCCAAAACGAAATTAACAGCCCTTCTGGGCGAATTGGCCCTTTGGGCTAATAAATAGACACGGTTAACAGAAAATGAAAGTAATAATTCAGGAAATGCAAGGTGTACTGCATATTTCGGCTGCTACTGAACGAATGATAAAGTTTTTTTTTATCACTGATCAGTTATTACTGACTGATAAAACGAAAGCTTAAAAAACTTAAGACACTGGAAATGATAGTAATTCAAGCGAAAATATTAAAATTCCTTTGAAAACTTTAATACTTGATTGAATTGCAAAACACTCATTTTCAAACTGTTCGCGAACGTTTAGTTTGTACCAGTACATAATAAATGGCATTACGTTATAGCAATAATAGTTAAAATGTTTATAAAAATTATCAACCAGATATGTATGTTATTAATTTCATAAATTATGTACTTCATAAATTATTATAATATTTCCTAAATTATATATTTTCATATATTATTTTCATAAATTATATATCATAAAATACATCAAACAGGATTAGAAGTATTGTTACAAATATAGACATAAATTATTAAGAAACACGTATATTGTTTTTAAATCGCTTAGTGACTGAAGTAAAGCTCAGTTTTAATTTCATGAAATTAAAATAATACCACCTCTGAGACCTGACAAGTTCTCGAAACATAGTGTTTCTCCTACAGTCATTGCCAGTACTGTATTACACAAATGCGTTATACAAACTATCTGCAATAAATATGCACCTCATTCTGCACTAAATTTGTCAAATTCTGCACAGTATCTGCTGTATATAAAGCATATAATTACTATGCAACTATCTACATTGCGTGTGCATTACCTGCAATACCTTACAACCTGTTGTGTATCTGACTTTGCACTGTGCATTTGTTCTGTGAGCAATGTGTATATAAAAAGTACTGTGTACCTACTTTAATCCAATAAACACTGTGCATCTAATATAATATAAAATAAGCTCAGCGCATTCTATAACATAGTGTCTCCACTACAGTTATTGCCTGCACATCATATCTGTATTATTCAAACTATCTGTATTATATCTGCACTGTATCTGACATATGCATAATGTATAATTCATCTATATCTATCAATATTGTATCTGCATTACCTGTATAATCTCATAGCTTCGCATAGAAATATATAGCTTGGCAACATAGCATGCATGGTGCTGCGTACTATAATTGTGTGTATACAATAGTATAGTTTTTTTTAAATCTGTAAGTTTAATTGTGTTTATATAATTGTGCACAATTGTGTTATATACCGTAGTATAGTGTTTTATTCTGTGTTTTAATACGTTAAGTGTTTTATTCTGTGTTTTAATACGTTAGTATAATTGTGTTTGCATAATTGTACACCATAACTGTGTTGTATATAGTAGTATAGTGTCTTATTTCGTTTGTACAATTGTGCGCAGTATTATAAATTCTAATATCTAACGCTTTACAAGCATATTGCATCTGTTTTTACATTGTGTATCAATTCTGTAAGCATTATGTATATAAAAAGCGCTGCATATCTATTCAAATTAAATAAGTATTGTGTACCTGATATAATGTATTGCATAATGTATTCTCCTCCAGAGTAAAGTTTCATCTGTAATTACTATATCATCTAATAACAAAATTTAATATTCTACACAGTGTGCCTGCATGCTTTATGTATGTTTATTTGCGCATTTTACATGTGATATGTGATCTAAATGTGTCTGTAGTGTAAGTGTATACTATATATTAGCTTAAATATGTTTCATTATAAGTATGTGTTTTACATGTATAAGTGTGTGCAAACTAGTATCTAATTTCTATTTTTATATAATGTGCTTACATGTTTTATATGTGTTATATATGTGCTTTTATATGTGTTTTACAAGTGTTTTGTATGTATCTTTATATGTGCAAGTGTATGTACTTGTATGTGTATGTATATGCTGTAATTAGTGTCTAACAAACCAAGATCTAACAAATCATCCGCCTATCGATCAAAACTAATGTATTCCTAAGACGCCTCTGTATGGCCATGTACAATTACGTAAAATTCTTCAATAAACTCCCAAGGTGGCCTCATGAGGCTCCTGGGAGTTGCTGCGACTAGATAGGGGAGGGCGCGGGACATATGCCTGTTTACCTCTGTTAAACATCAGGCGTCCCCGTCCTCCGTCACCTGTCACCTGTATGATAAATGGAAGATTAAATTCTTCATAGAAAGACAGTATTTGTCAAGCAGCTAGAGTGATAAATGCCTTAGCAGCTAACGCAACATAAAAAGACGTAAAGAAAGAAAAGAACCACATACAGACATTTTTAATTTCAAAAAATTAAAATGAATTTCTTTGCAAGCAAATCTAAGGCTACAATCGCAAATGCGAAACACTAATCTATGCCATTTCAAGTACTCAGCTGTTGATTACGAAGAATTAACACGCTGAGCATGACATGCAGAATTCAGCAACGAAATTCAGCGTGCACAAAAATAATGCTGCAGTAAATGACAAATGCAAAATCCAAAATACTTCTTTCATTTTGTGCAATGTAATGATAGTTAAGTGAACACACCATTTATTTCTTTGTTCAAAAAAATGCAAAGGCAAAAATGGACGAAAACAAGTCATGCACTGTGCTTCGATGTGTGATATTTCATAGGATTCAAAATAAAATGTAGATATAATAATGAATGCCAGTTTTTGAAATTTAAAGCTTCTTTAAACGATGTCTTATATTTTTAACATAAGGCATATTTAAGCAGTGCTATTTATTCAGTTTGTAAAATTTCTATAATCAACACACTTCTTCTCAATAAATATTGCATATTTTAAAATACTACCTTTTCATTACTGAAGTTTTCTTTACATAGATGCTAAATATTATTTGCATGATATTAATAAAATAAAGAAAACACATTTCAAGCATTCTCTAAATTTTTCAATAGCTATTTTGTAGCAAATTTATAATCTATAATATACTGTTTAACTATGTATTTTATTATTCAGAAATTCGCATACATTTACATAATCGATGAGAACTGAATTAGTATTTTTATAGTATAATTTAAAGTATTTTGGTAGAATTTAAAATTTCGCAACAATTTTATAAGGAAGTAATACTTTGTTTTACACTTACGAGTAATGTTAATACTAATTTTCTTAAAGAAATCAATCTATACTTATATAATCAGCATAATTCTAACTTCCAGTTATAAGTATTACATTTTGCAAAAACAGTTACATGGGAATTTTATCTTTCTTCATTTATTCATATACTTCCATCACTCGGAAAAAACATTTAAAAAAATCTAAGAACTGTTAATGAAATAAATTAGCGAGGGCTTTTCAAGCAAAAAAAACAATTTCTAAATAAATTTTTTATTGCCAAATTAGCGCTTTCAGAATTTTTAATTTAATATCTCGGCTTACTGAAATCGTGCGAAGATGAGAATGGTCGAAATGGCTTTTCGCGAAATTGTGAAATCCAGGGTGGGGGTACCTCAAACGAAACTCAACCTCCAGTCGTTCCGAAGGAGATGATGTTACAAAATGCAAACAGACGCGTAGAGATTAGTAAAGATAATTGTAAAATTTAAAAAGAATTTACCAAAAAACAATAAATCAAGTATTAAGGTAAAGAAAAAAATCATTTTGATTTTTATTGGAGAAAATGATTACAGTAAAACAGTAAAGTATGCTACAAAAATATTAATAATTCTATAAAATATTGCTACTATAACATTGAAAGAAAATAGGATAAAAAGTATGCTCACCGAAAAGATTCTGATGGGCTTATTCTTAATACGCGAAAACTGAGTCCTTTTAGAATTTAATATGATCTCTACGTATTTCTTCTCATCAGACTGGATAGATACTGTTGAATCACTTCGGTCCCGTGTATTTTATCAAGACGCCGCCTGGAAAAATAAATCACTTTGCAAAAAAAGATAAGGGAACAAGTGTTACAGACTGCTTTATGATTTGTTTATCGACGGAACTAATTGCGAAAAGGTACAAGGCAGGATATCCTCTCGGCGCGAAATCACAGATCCTCTCTCTCTCTTTCTTTGTTTTTCCGGTCGCTTTTACTTATGAGGACAAAAACCAGGAGCGTATCCTCATTCAGCACTCTAATGGACACAATTGAGCACGTGATATCTGGCAGACAGTTCCACATAGCTTATCACGAGCGTGCATTTATTAAGAAGCATTTGTCGAGGATGAAATTACAGTTAATTTATTCATAATTCGACTAAAAGGATACCAAAAAATAAACACTTTATTATAAATACTGTTATATTTGCATTTTTTATTATCAGCTCTCGTGGTGTTTGGGAAAGAAGGAAGGGTTTATATGGCTTTCACTTTTAAAAAGATGAAATATAAAATTGACTATTTTATACATACTTGGCAATTTTCTTTAAAAAATTATTAGATCTCGTTTTTCATACTTTTTAAGCGTGTGCGTGTATGTTTGGGGGGGGGCTAGAAGGTTTCAGAGCTTGAAAGGAAATTTTAATGAGGCCCTGTTTTATTGAAATATTCATCATGCTGAAAGGGATCACAGCATTAAAGTTTTATGAGTAATTTGTGATCTGTACACTCAGTGCCGGATTTATGTATAAGCTACAGAATTTTCGGAGAGTCATTTTCTTGGGGGCTCCCCAAAATTGTATATCCCATATTAAAAAATGGTCCCATGTCCCTTAAAAATATATCTATAAATAAAATAATAAACAAAATATATCTACAAATAAATCACATATCCCATATAAAAAAAATTGTTCCATGTCCCTTAAAAAGGGACCATATCTAAAATAGCTTAAGACATCATCAAGTCTAAATCCGGTCCTGTAAAATCTATTTATTCAAGATATTAAATTAATGAAATAATTGAAGGACATGACAAGTGCTTAGTTATAACAGTGAAAGTTATTAGTACAATCCTAGGTATTATTAAAGAGTTTCGGATACGAAGTTTTAAAATGCCGAGTAACAAGCTGGAAAAGAGCTTTTACTTAATGGAGATTACTTACTTAATGGACAATTTTCAATGCAGAGATAAAAGACATGTGACAGATAGAATTGTGAAAAGGTAGTTTTTTATGAAACTAAGCATGAGCCTATTTTAGTGAAAGAAAATTACATAACAACGAACTCCAATGCCTACCAGGTAGATCTAAATAGAAGCTTGGAGCCACCTGAAATTGAAAGAATAAAATCACCGAACAGTGGTTGTTCATCCCGGGATCGAGTCCCCGTGAAGAGGCTGGATGAGCGGGAGTTTCATGCTTTATCCTTGTTAATGTGAAGTGCTACTTAGAAAATGTTCCATGAAGATATCTTTAGGCTGAATAGCCCTGTTGTGCTTTACTTGAATCGCTTAAACAATAATAACATTTGAACAGCAGTTGAATAAAGTTTTCAGATGTCCTTAGCCAAGACAAAACCCAAGAAATGTAAATGTATAACATAACAATAAGTAGGAAATATAAGTGTAGAATTTCCTTATGAACTGGAAGTGCTGTACCCATATTACAACAAAATATCAACATATTTTATAACATGTTAGATGCACCATAAACATGTTTGCTCATGCGGGTATCTATAACTTCAACAGGAAAAAGTTTTCTGAACCTAGAGCCAGAGAAAAAAAAATCTTAAGGGGACTCATACACCTTAAAACCCATAAGATCTTCGAATATGTGACTGTTGCAAGAATAGGGTTAACTTATTTATTTTAAAAGCAATTACTACCAACTTTTTTACAGCTGACTACATAATATAGCTGCTTTCTGAAATAGTAATCAGAAAGTTTGTGTTGCCACAAATATTTTTATAATTTACTCCTCTTTGTGACAACATTTTTCGTCATGTTTCCAACTTGCGCGCACAGTTTTTAAAACATTCTGTTTCATAATTTAATTCCATATTTAATATATAGCTTTATAAACATTTGGAAACCACTGTGAACCTAAAATTCTAAAAATTTTATGTAAATTTTTATTTTATTTTGAGTTAAGTTTATAAAATGTATTTTATTAAAAAATTTTTTTAATGTTTTCGTCCATATAATTTTTCAATATTTAAAATATTCATTAGTTTGGTTCAGTTAGAAAGTAGTGCCCATATAAGAATTCCATCCAATTTCAAGTATGTACCATTAGCCATTTTTTAAATATCATGCGCGCAAGGCGGAAACATGGCGAAATATTTTGTCACAAAGAGAATTAAATTACAAAAATACTTGTGGCAACACAAACTTTCTAGTTACTATTTTCCAAAGCAGCTATATTATGTAGTCAGATGTAAAAAATTGGAAGTAATTGCTTTTAAAATAAATAAAATATCTCAATTCTTGCAACAGTCACATAGATCATAAGGGAAGATCATAAGGGGTTTAAGGTGTATGAGCCCCCTTAATGATTTTCAATAACAGGATTGAAAGGTCTTTCTGTAACAGCCATAGAAAAGCATATTAGATATTAAAATTAATGAAGTTTTTTTGATGCTCAAAAGACAAAAGAGCTAATTACTAGAAATTAAATTTGTTTAAAAATTTGGATAATTTAAAAATTAACCAGAAAGAAAAGAAAAAATAAAATTATGTGATTTTAAAGCAATTTAAAAAAATAAATCAACTTTAAGGCAGAAATGTACAACATAATATTGTAAAATATAGAAATGACTTGTAGTAAACCTGTAGAGACATTAAGTTATTTCGAATCAGGAGACATGAAAAATGAGCAATGCCCTCGCAGCGACTCGAACCTCTCGAATACACGTCGACTGTGCTGACCACTACAGCACCAAGGCATGCTAAAAAGGTGAAAGGCGGTAGAAATACCCTATATACTCCCTCTCTTAAAGGGCGACTGGGGATTAGGGGACTCAATCGCCAAATCCTTGTGATGAAGAATCATCATCCACCATCTTTTTTAGTTCGGGCGCCACTTTAGAGATCTTAGGTTATTTCGAATCAGGAGAGGTGAAAAATGAGCAACACTTTCTCCGGGACTCGAACAACGGATTCTAAATTGGGCTCGAATTTCAGGAGACGCTGTGTGAAAAAATTTGGTAACTAAAATAAATGATAGAGATTTAAATTTTTTTCGAAGAAATATTATATACTATGATTAATACTCAAAAAATATTTCACTGTAGTTTTCTTACACTTTTGTGATTCATTTGATTCAAGAAAACAGAATTATTTTGAAAACTGAAACTGTATAAAAATACTGTATAAATATCTGTTTATAAGTTTTGTTATCAGAGCGAAATAATTGAATAAAATTAGTTGATTTATTGATAAATTGCGAAATATTCAGAATATGCGACGAAAATAAGATTTTTAAAAGGGACACTACATGAAAGTAAATGCCTTGCCTGAACATCCTTGCACAGAAAGCACCTAAATCTCTCAAATCAGCCTTCAGCACCGTTAATGTGCTTCGGAATATTTCAAAGCGAATAATGTGAAAAAAATATTTAAAAATTATTTATATAACTTGACATTCTTTCGTTTTTAATTAGTTTAACTGATTTCTAAAAATGTTTTTAAATTAGTATGCCTTTGGGCTTTTAATATTTCATTTCTTTTAAGTCAATATCACTGTAAGAATAAAGATTTATCACGTCAATTAATTCTTCCTTCATTTTTTTATTATAAAATATGTAATCCCGTGAATGTATTTTCTTAAAAATTTAGGAATAAAAATTTAGGAACTTAAGTTGTTAACATGTTAAGCCCTCAAGAATACTTAGATTAGTTACTGCTCAAATACGTTTGGAATTAAAAATTTAGGGTGGTTATATTGTCAGTCATTAGTAACTTAATGGGAGCGTATCTTCCCTTGGGTGACCATGTATTCATCCCTTACACTGGACAATCTGATCTTTACTCCACTGCACACAGCTTCCCATGCGAAAATTGGCGCCATCCAGTCGCCAGTTTCCATTCTATTACCTCCTAAACACATCAGTATACTTAAAATGAGATGGTTTTGTTTCTTCCTTATTTAGTAGAATACCCACAAGCGTGAAGGCATATATATTTCCTGAAGCTTTACTGTTTTCTAAGAAATTCGATTAGAAGATACACGAATAGCGTAACGTAAAAAGGGGAGGGAGAAAACTCACTCAACTGATGAGTTGTACACAACAATCGATTTCATTGTTGAAGAAATTCAAGGAGAATAATAAGGAAAATCGAAGTGTTTCTGAGTGACGTATGTGTATTCTAAACATATTTTGTTAATCCCATTAGGCATTATAAATATATTTTGTTAATCCCAATAACGTTGTAAATGTTCATAGGAATTTTCAATGTGGTATGTTATAAGTTAAATGTTTTAACTAAAATTAGATAACAGTTAGATACTTTAATAATGTATCTAACTATTATAAGTTAAATTTTTTAACTTATAACAGTTAGATACATTATTAAAAATAAAATAAAGTTTAAATTATTAATCTCTGTGTTTGGTACATTTAAATTGCTCGGTTATTTAAGATAGTATATGCTTATTAAATGTTAATTATAGATTATGCTTTCCGAAATGGCTACATTCTGAAAACTAACCTATGTGTCAGGCCGCATCCGAGATAAATTAAGGAGCTTATGTTTCTCTGGTGTGCTAAGACACACTTCGCATAATTGCTAAGACGTGCGGATAATTATTCGCAGGTTATTTCAATGCAATCATATAAAATTTTTGTAAAGACTTCAGTGAGGAATGTCCTAATGTTAAAAAGTGTGATATTAATTAAAAAATAAGGGATATAATTAAGGGAGATTAATTATGTGAGGATTGTTACCCACATAAGTGGCAAAAAATAAAAATAATTTACCCAAATGTACTTATAATTTCACACAATCCGCTTTATTTAAAATCAAAGATTAAATTTAGTATTATATCCTTGAGTAAAACATGACATTAATTTTAGCAAGAAAAGAGATGATTTTACGTACTTAAGTGATTTTGTTCTTGGGAAGAAGTGAAAATAATTCACCCATATGTGCTTGAAAATGAGAACTATACACTATATTTTCAAAAATTAATATTAA